AAGCGACTTTTTCACCTCATATAAGTTGCCACATGTGTGTATCCCATCTCGGACATACCAGCTGATGAAACAACTTCAATGCGCCCGTTATTTCCTGCTAAATTACCAGCTGTGGCTCACATACATCGATTTGTTGGAGTGATCTGTTCATCAGAAAAATTGTTTGTGGAATATGTGGCTGGGTTATGTACTTAGTAACCTGTTTGTGTACTGCTTGGGATCGAGACTACTGCATTTGATTGATTTAAAGGTACTTTTTAAGGTACTTTTCCGAGTTGATGTCTCCATTATGCATTTCAGGGACCGTTTCGATTTGATTGGCTTTCAATCCAGTCAATCTGTGTAAGTTGCAACTATGAAAATCCGGTCTAGTTCATGCTTTGGTAGAAATTTCTGACCTGGTCTAATCCAGCTCGCGGACAGATCCCCAATCCGTGAAATGATGTAATATGTGAGGTGCTCTAGTGTACAGCTTATATTATGTCCGATCCGACGCCACGCTCTCTGTAATAACTGTGCAAAGGCTCGCGAGCTGGGTCAGCCGCTGCAATTTCGACACCGAGAGCTCGTGCTCTCATCAGCTAGATTTGGTGACCGGGCGAGAGCAAAGGAAAGATATCATTCCGCTCCCACATGCACGGGCAGGCCAGACTCGTGGAGCAAAGCGCAGGACAGCGTCTCCGAATCTGGAACCAGCCATCCGTGACGTCATTTCATCGGCGGAGACCAAGAAGCGAGAGCGGATTTATAATCCAGGTCTGCAGCGTGAGGAAATCTGGCGACCATGTCGTGAGCTTTTAGTGGCGCTCCAGTAATCCTACGTCATAGTAAACCATCGGCTTTCTTCGTCGATTGCGGCACCCTTGTGCAAGATTTAGAGCGAAGGGGCAGCTGCGATGCCTCAGAGATTGTTTACAATCCCTTCGCACAAAGAATGAGCTTGGCCGACTCTTCCGCGGGTCAGGAAAGTTCCGCGCTTGGCTCTTGATTGGTGTTGGACAGCACAGAACAACGGAACAACAGCTGGATAAACTCTTGCGCGGGTTTAAACGGTTTTTTTTGCGTGTTTCTGGGAGAGAACACCCAGGCGGGCATCACTGATCCACCCACGGGCTGTCCGTGAGCTGGAGGTCTCAACGCCAACGACCTGATTGTACAGCTTTCAGCGCCGCTCACGTGTTGACGTCGCACCCTCCTCGACAATGCTGCATCCATTTTCAATGGTGTCAGGCCCAGGGTGTGTGTGGGGTGGGGGTGGGGGGGGGGGGGGGGGGGGGGGTGGGGGTGTGTGTCTCTTTCCTGAAATCATCAAACTTTCCCTCTAATTACCCCGCCCACTAACACAACCACAGCCGAACGCAGTTTCAGCGCGCCACGGCGGATGAAAACCTCGATTTGTTCAACGAGTACACGGAGGACCAGCGGGGCAGGAGTGTGTCACGTGCATCACCGTCGTCTAGATTAAGTGCATCCAGCTCGCGCCGTAGTCGCTTTTGCAAGCATAAGGCATTGCGCCAAATGATGTTCGGCTGCGCTTGGGGCCGCACCGCGAGCGACGGTGCTACAACCCGGAAGATGGCTGTGCTCTTTGATCTATATCCAGCGTGTCACAAGGATACGTTTGTCGCCACTGTGGTATATGGACAGATTTGCGCTCTCTATTAATACAAGTCGATGAGCAAGCCGAGTTTTTTGGGGGCTCGGACATCCATGCTATAACATAGTTTGGGAGCAAAAATGTGTGAAATAGTACCCTATGTAGATCTGCCATTGAACATCCACATGGTTTATCCATTGCTACATCGCATGGTTAGAGGATGCAGCTGGTAACATGCACCGTGTCAAGAGGCTCCAAACTACGACAAGACATTCAGTCCGGCGCATTGCCGCGTTGGTGCAGCGCTAGGCGCAGGGGGCATTTGCTTGGCGATGCTGATTTACGGATGCCAGCATTATTAATTTTGTAAGTATAAATACACATAAATGTATATATATACATATATATATATATATAGATAGATAGATAGATAGATAGATAGATAGATATATATATATACACATATATATATATACACACACATATATATATATATATATATATATATATATATATATATATAAGCAACAACATGTCTCATCCATTTTTCAATCAAGCGTCACAAGATGTATCTGATCTCGTCCCCCCCCCCATCTAAGACTGGTAGCACGGTGCCTCTGCCCATTGATCAAAAGAGCACTCCGTGACGTTCCTAAAATAGTCAAACATTTTACGCCACGACTGACATCACTTTGACACCCATATAACTATCGGACGAAACGTCCTCTTCATTTCACTAGTCCCTGTCTCAGATTTTATTTTGGCTGCGGTGTGGTCAGGACGTAAGTGGTAAACGGGAAAGTTGGCAGTACATGGTGAATCCACCTCGCCAGAATACTCTCGTCCTTAAAAAAGGTTGTGGGTGTGATGATATAGATCCTGTTCGTCAACACTCGAGCTGGGGAAGAGATCGGCTCTTTAGGGTTTACATGGTATTTTGGACCTTTCCTCTCCAGCACTGCCGTAAATTTAACGTTACAGTCATCGCACGTTGGATGGAGCAGACCCTGCAACCCATCCGGGTCCGCCAGTCATGCCGATTGCTGAGTCCGCCGTACCGCTCCTTAATGAGTGCGGCACAAGTGTGGCGCAGGCGTACGAGAAGCAGCTGCGGCAATCTCGAACCCCACTGCTAGAATGTCAGATGTTGCTAGGTTCACTGTTTCGTTTTCGCCCGCGCCAGAGGCATAACGTTACTTTGATGCGACGCGCCGTGCATTGCACGGTTGCAGGAATCCACCTGGGCATCCTTCATGCCTAATTCGTAACATGTATGTCAAATACGCGTTTTTAATCTTTACCATTTTGCTGTGATCAGTTTGCTGAGAGAGACATCAGATACCGATGTGTTGTCAGATATTCCAGTGCTTTAATGACCGCATCCGTACCAATTTTTCTTCAGGCGTATCAATGGCCACGCCCACACAGATGGCAGGTATTGGCTTTCGGTGCCAATAGTTTGCACGTCAACATTTTGCCTGTCCATCGTTCACGTACCCGCATTCTACCCGTCGATGTGCTTGTGACGACATTTTGCATGTCGATGTTCTTCCGGCCGATATTATTCGGTTGTATTGAGTGTGTTGACGTTTTGAGCTGTGATCTTTCACATACTACGAACTCGAGACTACCCTTACCCCTGCGATGGGAAAACACCTTAGGGCAGGGACGGCTATGGCGCAGGGTCACGACCCGCGGCCGTGCGTCACCACGCAGGCACGCAGACCACGCAGGGATGAGCCGGGTTCCTCACGTGAGGAGGTATATGGGATGATGTTCGGACACGCATCAGAGAGTCCTCCGGAAGGCGTCGTGTGTCCAGCAAGGTACCTGCGGTGTCTTGTGTCTGTGGGGGTTGGTCCGGGCAAAGTTCCCTGTTTTTGCTTCTTCCACCCAGCGAGCACCGTCGCCAGCGCAGCGATCGATCTGTGTTAGTGAATTGCGCAGTAAAGCGGCGTTCGACGGTAATGGGTTTGGTCTGGCGCTGTTGCCTGGGGCTGATGGCTTTCAGCTGCAAACGCTGTCACAGAGTACAGCACTCGCTCCACTTCCTCAGAGGTCAAGCAGCGCAGCATCCGTGTGATGCGACGCAGTTGTGCGTCACTCTGTACAAGCAAATGCAACAGCGAGCGGACAGGTTCATTGTTTTAGGTCAATACCTTAGTTGGCGACCGGAATTTATAAGGTGATAATGTCGCCATCCTGCGAAATCAGTGAATAAGTACACAGTGTGCTACGGCAACCCGAAGCTGCTGGCACTCACGCAAATTACATATGCAATAACCACGAACTAGTGAGCGTATATGAAGGCTCAGAGCAATCCCCAGTGGATTTAGATGCCAGCCATAGGACATCAGCCATGGTGATTTGGTGGTGCGCTGGGTACATCGGATGCAAACCCGACACAGCACCCCGGCCCGTTCAGCTGATCGTCCGATAAGTGGATGAAGGTGGATACAGTTAGTCGGCCTGACCAGAGTGCATCCTGCCGCCGGCACTTAGCACGGCTGCTTCCTGAGTGACGTTTGGCTCCACTGCTCTACTAGTGCATCTAGCGCGCCCTCATCTCGACATCCCTGCGCAGCTCTTATAGTCTCATGAACACCATGTCACGCCTCTCTTCCATCTGGAGGCATTTCCTACACCTTTCTTAGTGAGTTTTAGTTACGGTTCACCGGTGGTAAAATTAAGCCAACCTGGTCTCGGCGACATACCCCTCTCAGACGGCATTTCTCCTAGTTTAAACCCGGCGACGCCAGCCACGCCTCTCTCAGCGCCATTCGGCCGCTCATCCCTCCTGCTTACATACACCGTCGCCTTTAAACACGACCTGCTTCTGTGTAGGCTACATGTAGCCACGCTCGTCTCCTGACAATGTAAGCAACACCTCTCGCCAGGCGAAGTTCAGTCGCGATTCTGTCCAGATAGCAGGTAGCACCTTTTCCCGTTGACATACGCCACGTTCCTTCCAGCGGCATTTAGCCCTACACCTCTCCTGGCGACCATGGCCATGCCTCTGTTCTGGCAACATAGCCCGTGCCTTTCACCTGACGGCAGGTAGCCAGAACTCTCTCCCGGTGAGGCTTTATCATACCGCTCCTATGCCAACATTTAGCCACGCCAATCCCGCTGGCATTTAGCCACGTCTCTTCTCTGTCAACAATTAGCCGCGCGTTTCTCGGTGACCTTCAACCAGGCCTTCAACTCCGGCGGCATTTAGTTGCTTCTCTCTCCTGGCGTTATGCGTCCGCTCCCATCTCCAGACAATGTTGAGCCACGCGTCCGCTTCCCAGTGGCCCGCGCCTCTGTTTCGCTGGCATAAACCACGCCTCTCTCTCGTCCCTGGGCACGAACGGGAGGTGACAGTGGCAGAGGCGGGCGCCAGCGTCCGCCGCGGTGGTACTCACAAGGCGCCGCTGGGTCCCAGCTGGCCGGCCGCCGCCAGGCAGCAGGCCAGTACGCTGGGTACGCCGTACACGTACAACAGCAGGCGGCGGTCGTCGGCGCCGAAGTCCAGCGCGCGCCGCCGGTACACCAGCGTGAAGGCGTTGATGGCGGTGATGTTGACGAGCAGGATCTGTCGGCAGTGGAGGCCCGACAGACTGAGTTATCAGGCGCCGCGGACTGGCCGTACATCACGCCCGTGCCATGACAGCGGCCGCCGGACCGGCCGGCGACAGTGGCACCGGCGCCAGCGGCGGCGAGCCGGCCAGAACCGATGCATCACACCGGCCTGGCGGCAGCGCGTTCTAATGAGCCATTGCCTGCTGATGACGACGCTGAGCAGCAGCGCAGCGCATCCCTTCCGTGTCGCGCTCGACCGTCTGCAGTCTACAGCCAGAGCGGCTCTGAGCGCTGGCACTGCGGGCTGGGGACGAGCCAGTCCAGCTAGCCAGCCAGTCCGGTGGCAACCCAGTGCCGTCCTCAGACGTCCTCGGCCCAACGCCGAGTGGCTCTCCTGGTCGGCCGCGTAGTTCTGAACGGGAAGCACCTAACGTGTATCTCAGGGGTCCCCCACGCTTGGGCCAGCCGGCGGCTATCTCATTGACCCGAATGACACTTGGGTCCTTTCCTCTACTCTGGAGACGGATCAGTTGAGGGGGACCGAACGTCTTGACTAATTTACACATATCTGTATTTTATTTGTATTCGACATCAGCTGCCACTCCAAATAAATACTTGGGGCATTTCGTGCGATTTGTATTTAACATCAGCTGCCACTCCAAATAAATACGAGGCTATTACGTGCCATTTGTCAGCGAGATAAAACAGAGAGGAAAAACAACGGAAAGTGATAAGGGGCAAAAACATAACAAACACATCAACATCATCAGGCAAACCTACTGCACACAGAATGTTTTAACACTGCGCCTCAGACTTGTCGGGCCCGGCCGCTCGGTATGCGAAGGACCGCTGTCCTGTCGTGCGCTCCGCCGAGGAGCGCAGATTTTGATCTATGCGGGTGGAACAGCCGCGGGTCCGCGAGTCGGCGTATGTTTGAAATAAACAGGCAATATCTGTACGTCCACCTCGCCCACCGGCTTTGTACGGAGAGATAGCAGTTCATTCGCCAAATGTTCGCTAGCGATAGCCGTTCATAAGCCAAATGTTCATTGGCAATAACAGTTCATAGGCCAGATGCGCAGCGTCGCACATTTGGCGAGGCGTGGCAAGTTCCATGTCATCCTGCTTGTGAAGCACGTGGTCATACTTTTGGCTGCCGGCAGCTACTCTGGTAACAAAGTGAATCACTTTCAGTGGCCTGATGTCATGAACAGCTGACCTCTGACCATCAACTGAAATGAAGTATCGCACGCGCGAAATGACGCGGGACCCTGCATGCTGGTCAGTAGCACTCACCGGGGGGTCAAATATCTCAGGTGGCGGAAACCAATCAGAACGCCGATGCACTTTTTGAATGCATCACCGACGCATGCGACCCCGCTCAGGTGGCGGTCAAACAGCAAGGTCTAGTTTTTTCTAGTTTTTTTTCTAGTTTTCCCCCGGTCTGGCTCTCTCGCACGGTCTCCCACCGACCCGTGCACTGACAGGGAAAGGTTCGCGGAGTTTTTGTCTGGTGCCATGGAGGAGTTCGCTTTCGGATGCGTTGAACTTGAGATCGTGGGCATGAAACCGTGGTACTAGAGAGGGCAGGGTGGCTTCATGCGTTAGATGAAGAAAGAAGGAAGGTCACGCTTGACGTCGGATATACGGATTTGAGAGTTTCCAGTGTACTGGAGAAGGATAGGGGCGACGGCGTCAAAACAGAGGAGCAGGATACGGATACAAATACCATCAGGTCCACAGGCCCCAGAACGCTTCATGGAGACCATGACCTCGCACAGCCCGCCCAGCGTCATGTCAGTCACCCGGAGACCACAAGCGCGCATAGGCGGGCGACATGGGACGTCAGGTGGCCGCCACATACCGGCCAGACAGGCTGCAACACATTCCATCATGTGATGGCAGGTTGGAGTGTTCGTTGGAAGCTCGACCAGCTGTAATTGGGTTTAAGGGCACATCAGCTAAAGGGGTAACCTGCACCCCAGCGCGCCCGCGGCTCGACTTTCATCCATCAATGTCGCAAGCTATCAGTACTTTTGAGATCAACTTAGCGATTGCTAAGACGGAGACAACACATCGCGGAGACGGAGATCACGGGGACAACACATCGCAGTACACCGATACAGCAGTACGCTGAAGGAGGTGCAACATCATAGAAGCGGTACGGTGAGAGAGGCGCAAGGCACCACGGCACACTTGCCGATGATCCCATAGTTGTGTTTGTTTTACATCACTGCAGGCTTTTATTCTTAACAGCCAACATTAGTCTGCCGCTTGTTCCAAAAACGCAAGCCGACCACAATCAGAGTACAGGAGCACCTCGAAATGTAGAGAAACCAACGGTTTGAAATGAAGTTTCATTTCTGTACTACCACAGGTATAGTGCTAAGGCTTCAAGCAAAGTATATCGGTCATAATTCATGCGTCCCTTCATGGTTATTACGTCTGCACTGGTGGGCCCGCTCACGACGCAATGAAGGCAGGGCGCTGCATTTGTTCTTCAAATCGTTACAGTTCAGACGGCTGACAGACAGTGGTCATTACTTGAAGATCAGGGAAACCCGTTCCTGCTCAGCCGATCATGGACGACAGCTGTGCATCACAAGAAACATTTAGATTTAGTTTGCATAGCAGTTTGGCATTAATAACAAACTGCTAATAACATTAGCTGAGCCGGGGAGCGCTTCGATGTGAGTGCAAAATTGACCTGCCATTGACGCGGCCTAGGGCAGCGCTAATCAGCCAATCAAGCCGTCTGACCGAATTGCTCTCGAGTGATGAGCTGGCGGCAGGTGTTCAAGCACGGCTTCGTGCTCCTCTCACGCATCGTCGGCCAGAGTCTACACAGAACCATCGATCACACGCAGTCTCATCCGCTCGCCGGTGGTCTTACCACGCTTTCACTGCGGTGATCACACCTCAGGACATGACAGCCGTCTTGAACCCACGGAGATCACCCGAGCGTGGTGTCATGCCTAATATCCTGTATGGGCGCCATACCCCGGAAGGGCGGACCGATGCTTACGTTCGAAGCTCGTTTGTCATGATCTCAACTGAAAGGTAGCAGACGTATCGAGGGCCAACTGGAAATCGACACGCGTCCATTCGCTCCAATCAGGTGACCCGAGCTGACCTATGCCTGCAGCCTTCTAAGCTTTCTCACAGTCCGAGTGCGCACGTGAACCCAATGCGCGTGTGAAACATTACGCGCCCACACACTTGCGTATCGTTAATACATGCTAGCCCAGCATCCACTTCCTATGATTATTCAACTGCTTTTTCCATCGGAATCGCAGCTTTTTAAATCCCGAACAATGGATCAAAGTAATCCAACATTCGCGTACGGAACAACGATGTTGAGATTCGCGTGCGTGCGTACCTAAACACATTCACGTTGGCACTATACTTTACGCAATAAAATGCTGCACAATCCACAACTCGCGGTCACACACACACCGCGAGAGTCTGCTCGCTGTTGACCTTATTTCCGCAGCTACCTTTACCAGTATGATTTTACAACCGCGTACACATGCGAAATAACCGTTTCCAATGAGTATCAATTTGGCGCTAGTATGGTTGCAGAAACCGGATCCTGGCACGGGTAATACCGCAGTTGGATGCACAGGACGTCGGTACCGCACCACAGCCAGCGGCACCGGGAAATGCCTGGACCGACAGGCCCGGCTATGGGAGATGCCTGGACTGGCAGGCCGAGGTATGGGAGACGCCTGGACTGGCAGGCCGAGGTATGGGAGACGCCTGGATTGGCAGGCCGAGGTATGGGAGATGCCTGGACTGGCAGGCCCGACTATGGGAGATGCCTGGACTGGCAGGCCGAGGTATGGGAGACGCCTGGATTGGCAGGCCGAGGTACGGGAGACGCCTGGACTGGCAGGCCGAAGTATGGGAGACGCCTGGACTGGCAGGCCGAGGTATGGGAGACGCCTGGACTGGCAGGCCGAGGTATGGGAGATGCCTGGACTGGCAGGCCGAGGTACGGGAGACGCCTGGACTGGCAGGCCGAGGTATGGGAGACGCCTGGACTGGCAGGCCGAGGTATGGGAGATGCCTGGACTGGCAGGCCGAGGTACGGGAGACGCCTGGACTGGCAGGCCGAGGTACGGGAGATGCCTGGACTGGCAGGTTAGGTATGGGAGACCCCGAGACTGGCCGGTTGGGGTATAAAAGATCCCTGAGCTGGCAGGCAGGGGTAATGAAGACGCCTGAGCTGGCAGGCCGGGTTATGGGAGATGTCTGGGCTGGTAGGCCCGGGTTTGGGAGAAAAATAGTCAGGAAACGTTGGTCTAGATGCAAGTGATAAAAGCCAAATGCAAAAGGTCGAACAGGCATAAAGTCAAACACAAAAAATAAAAAAATGATAAAAGTCAAATAGATATGTCAAAAGAACAAGCAGACAAAAGGATGAAGCAAGCTCCAAAGATTCAAATAATCAAACAATTTCAAAAGAACAAAGGACAAATTAATTACGAAAAAAGGTAAACAGCCAAAAGATAGCAGTAAAATGAAAAAAGGCAAATAAGCAAACAATTCAAAGGGAATACAAGTCAGATGAATCACAGCAGAACAGGGTTTCAAAAAAAACATATCCGGACAGAATCCTAGTTTTAATAGGCTTTATAATTCCATAAGAACCCTTAGTGTTCGTCTGGAAGGGTGGGATTCTAGCTCCTAGAATCTAGAAGGGTGGGATTCTAGCTCCTAGAATCCTAGGGCGTCACGCGCTCTCGGCGCAGCGCCACTCCAATCACGCTCAGCAGGGGGCGCTGCAGTCGGCGCCCGCCTCGTGACCCGGGGCAGCGGGTCAGAACGGCTCCCCAGGGCCGACGCCGCTGTCGCTGAACGGCCGGCCGGAGCTGGCCGCTTTTGAGAGCGCCAACCACCGCCTCTCGGCCGACCCCGCCCTTGAGTACGCCAGCCGCCGCCGCGCTCGGTCGACCCCTTTTCCGACGCCTTAGGAAGGAGCGGACGCCCCGTTGCGAACTCCGCGGGAAG